AAAAAGAAATTATTTTTTGATAATTAAAAAATAATTAATATTTATTAATTATCAAACTAAAATCAATAAACAAACTGAAATATTCAAATACCATAATTAAATATTTTAAAAAATAAAGAAACATTTGAGTGGCCAGAAACACTTTTTAGGTGACAATAACCTTAAGACAGTGGGCAGGGTCTCGATAGTGTGGGGTAGCAGGGACCTTAGATTGAGGAGCTTAAACCAATGTTTTAATGTTCATTAATGTTAAATCTCAACTCATTACCACTAACAGTGGCTGGTGATTCAGTCAACAAAACTTTATGCAATTAATACTTTTTGAATGGGAACATGTTTCCATGACTAAATGCAAAAGAAAATTAACAAAAAGATTCAGATAGCCAATAATTCCTGTAACAGTATCCCTAAAATGTTGGGAAACAATCAATCTTTTATTTATTCATGTTATGATTAGTTTGGTTGATAGTTAATAGTTAATATTCAACAATTGATAGTCGTTTATGGTCTGATTACGTTGTTCCCTAAACTCTAAACAAACGGAGCTAGTTTGAAGACAATTAGTCTTTCAAGCACGTTGGAAGATGAGCAATTTTATTTGTACAATAGTTACATAATGTACAAACATGTATATTATGCTTGTAAGTTTACACAAAAGGCAGGTAAGTAGTAAAAAAAGGGGAAAAAAAAAGTGGTAAAACATGCCAAATTAATATTTTCTTTAAAAATGCACACTGTACACATGAACATGAAATATGTGCAGAAAATGATGGTACCAGAAGCTGAACAACGCAGGAAAATGCAAGGCAAGTCATACTGGATTAGCTTTTCTGCTTCCTGCTCTCCTCGAGCGATATCTGAGTGTGGATATATTAAGACCAAAGAAGTCAGGATTAGGCGATTAGCTATTGTGCCGATTCTCAAGCAAGTTTTTGCTTTTACGAAAGAAATCTCAGTTGAATTTTGTGAGCAAATTTGATCAAGATTATTTTAAGATATCCATTTTAGAGTTTTGACCAAAATCATAGGGTACTGGTCATCAGTTGATCAAATTTGAGGAGTTTAAATGATAATATATAAGGGATAAATTACCAGGAGGAGATCTTCATCAGTGCCAAAAGACTTACGTGCTTCTTCGAGGCACCTTGATGAGATTCTGACACGTTTCCTGTACATTTTCCATCCCAAAATTATGCTTCTATGGTAAGAGGAAATAGCTCTCCTAGACAAACTTAATAGGACATTGGTTGATGCTTAAGAGAATATTTAGCACTAAAGAGGAAAATGACACGAAAGTTAAACCAAGCAGCAACAGAAAGCTGATTGAAAAACAATAGTAATACCTTGAAATTGCAGGATCTCTAATCTCAAATTCATCCTTGCCAGCATCGTAGCCACATATCAAAATATAGTGACCTAAATTAGTCATCATATCTGGTCAGTATGAATTCAGCAACAGCATGAATTACAATATATACAGACATGCAACAGCAATGGTTATCAAGCTTTTCAGAAAGAGTATTCAAAGGGAAGAGATTCAAAGATAGACAAGCAAGTTTGGAGAATCTGTTATTAACTAAATCATAATTAGAACATTAACGCCATGCTGAAGAAGCAGGAAGGGTCTTGAAAAACCTGCACTACTTTATGGTGCATTAAGTTGTTGAGCTTAGTTGTCTAAAATAGCTAGTGAAGCAAATTCCTTTATCAACATCATAATAAACACCATTGGGACTAAGTCCAAACCCACAAGCTATCAACAACACCTGCAGTATGAACTACTAATACATAGAAAAATGTCTCATATTTGCTTAGGTAAAAGAGACTTCTACACTCTTTAAGATGACATATGCGTTAGAGTACCCTCTGCTCCAAGTCATCAAAAGCCATCAACAAATTTTCTATCTGCCCTGACTTTCATCGATTCTGCCACAGGGCTAATAGCAATCCAACAGCATAATGATCTCCAGGCTAATATTAATTTGCCAAAAGTTATTTAGAGAGTGCATAATTTTTACTCAACAAATCATTGCATCTATAGTAGAAGAAACTGGTTATTAGTTTATCATTAATATCCAAAGTGCCTGAGGATGCCTACTTGTTATAGAGTGCTGAGGAATTTCTGTTTATAGTTTAAATGGAGAACGTTATCAATATAGCTCATGAAAGACTCTTGAGTAGTTTGAGATAAAGGATTATTTGAGCAGAATATATAAACAATACAATTAACAAATACTAACTTCTCACCAGTGTAGTGTGTTGCACTTTCATGGAATCCTGATACAATAACATCTCCCAGCCAATAATAACTGCAAGGAATAATTATGGCAGAACAATTCAACATTAGGCTACTACATTAAACAAGAAGCCATTATTGTGTAAGAGCACATACCTTAACTTGGACTGGTCAACCAAAGCAATTGCTATATATTTCCCACATAATATCCACTTACAAATTTCCTCTTGACCAATTGACCTGCACTGTAGGATGGAGACAGTTCATCATTCAAGAAGATAGTTAAATTGTGAGCAAGGAAGAAAATTCTAATTTTATACAGGAATGCAATCACAAGTCTGTACTAGGTTTTCTCCATTGGCATGAAAAAAAAAACCCATTTTTAGTCAAACCTATGGAAATATTTTCAACACTCAACATTAAACCAATCTTTATACTCTTGAGTATTGAAGTTATTCACTGTAATATGAAAATCCCTTAAATTTAACAATTTACCATTTTTTTACATGAAGTAGACTAGTGGCAATCAACATTTAAACAATTGTATACAAAGGAACAGATGTCTCAGACTTGAATGGATGATGGATCATACCTTTATACTGATTCCAGCTTCCACTGCTTTTTGAAATAGCATATCTACTCGGCCCAGATCATTGGGCAGCTGCTCCTGCAGTATATTTATAGCAACCACTATGAGCATTTTTTCCTGATAAACTATAACATTAAGTTAGCAGCAGGTGAAACTGACAACCCTAATGATCATAGGAAATATAAGCACCATGACAGGTTAATGAGAAACCAAAATCTATATGCATGACATAATTGAAAGACAAGGGGCAGAGGGAGGAGGTGCAATTTTCAAATGATATGCATACATGTTAATATAATGCTAGCAGAACAGTGGATTTTTTTCTTTCCTTTTTTTTTTTTTTTTTTTTTTTTTTGTGTGTGTTTGTGTGCGTTTTTAAATCAATAGCAAAGAAACAATAATAGTGATACAAAGAAATTAAGCAAAGGCACATCAGCAAAGCAAAGGCACATCAGCAAAGCAAAATCACCTTGTAATATGTCTCAACAGAGTACTTTGGGTTTGCTCCAAAGGTTATAGTGAAATAGCAAAAGCTAACAGAAAACTTCTGCAGTAAATATGCGAGGTCAACGGTCCAAATGCTGCAACCAAAATTTCAGCAACCTTATCGATTAAAAACTGCTTGTATTGTCCTATATATATGAATGAATGATGTCTGCATGAAATCTACCTTGAAAAACACAGCTGTAGAAACTGTTTATATTTAGCAGTTAAAAATTATACAATACAATTAAGTGAAATTTGACTTTGTTAGGAACAGCATACCTTTCTGTTGTGCATAGCTCTGCCAAGTCCTGTATACTATAGTCATTAATGCCAATTGTTGTCAAAGCCATCAACACACAAGCAAGTCCACAGTCCCAAGAGGAGAGCTGGTTTATATGTGGAACCTATAACCACCGAACGAAATTTAGATAAACAAAACTAAAACACATTTTAAGAGATCAATAAATAAATCAAAAAAACCAGTCCCATTTGAATCTATCACATCAGCATACAATTGTAACATAGACATACATTACACTTGTAGAGCAAAAAGCAAACTGAGAAACAAGACATACATATTCATAATGAACTCACTTCAAGAAAGCACGAGGAAGGCGTCACAGCATTGCGGCCTGTTCCATGATTTGATGATATATGAAATGGGCAGCATTCTGCCACACTCATGTGATCTCCACCAGGTTCAAAGACTCTTTCCTCCCCTTCCTCTTCAGTTTTAAGAATCTTATTTAACAGAAGATACACAGGCCACATCAGCCACCCCCTACAGGATTAGCTACAAAATTCCAGTAATCACCACAAGCCAATAGTTATTTACTCAGCCTCTCTAGTCCTCCAAAAATGATCCAAAAATACTATCTTCTTGAAGCTTTCTTCTACATAGACAACAAGAACATATCAAAAAAGAAAAAAATTGAAACTTTTTACAGTAATCACAGATTATTACATCATTAAGCTCATTTAGCCAAAAGGGTAAGCCTCAATTAGCCTGTTTCATAAAAATTCCATAGTTTCAAAGATTGAAAAAATCCAATTACAGATTTCAACCATAGACAAACTGCCTGAAAAGAAATTTAACGAATCCAGGGGGGAAATTAACAACAGTAAGGAGTTTATTGTTAGCTAAGATCAAACAAAAAGCATTAGTAATCATAATTAGCGATCTATAAAACATGAATTATAATTTGTTGATGGGATAAAGGAAGTACCTTTAGGGTAAAAACGAAAGTGGGTTTGACGAAGAAGGAGAAAGGCGAAGACTTTCGAATCCTGTTATGAGTTGGTTGGTTGGTTTGGTGGCTTTCCCGATCGAACTTTGACGTTTTGCTGCTTTTTTTTTTCTTTTTTTCTTTTTTTATAAACAACGAAAGCAAGCAATAATGCCAATTAGAGTAGTAATAATAGGAAAAGATTGTTTTCTTTAATTAGAGATAGGACAGCGTGTGGCGAAGGCTCACTGGATATGAGCAGGCTTCGGTGTTCCTAGTTTTCCTCCAGCAAGCCAATCAACGTTCCAGCTCATTTAGAGTTTTCC